CAAAATATATGGTTAAAAGTACCTGGCAGTGGTATTTTTCCCTGGGAGGCTCCGCAGAACATCCCAAGACCGATGCCACCACATCTGCCCTCTTCGGGGACAGGTCCTCTTCAGAAGGACGAGGCCCCGCTGGTCACCCTTGCGTTCTTCATCTTCCGGCCGTGGCCCCACACCATAGAAAACATAGGCGCGTGCGCACTGCCCCACACACAATTATAGCCTCGGAATCTTTATTAACGGCGGGAACTTGTCACTTGCCTGGGCTTCTGCAGAAGTTTTCCTCCGAAGCCCTCCGAGGGAGGAAGGGCCAGTTGGGAGAGGGGCTTTCGTCCTAGCTCCAGGCTATAATTGTGCGGGTGTGCGCGCACCTATGTTTTCCATGGTATGGGGCTGCAGCTGGAAGGCGAGGAATGCGAGGGGGACCATGGAGGCCTCGTCCTTCTGAAGAGGACCTGTCCCCGAAGAGGGCAGATGTGGTGGCATCGGTCTTGGGATGTTCTGCGGAGCCCCCCAGGGAAAAACACCACGGGGGATGGCTTTTTAACTAGACGGCTGTCAGAGAGAAGAAGGCAGCGTGTGCCTGTGTCTTAGGCGACCCCTGTGAAAGGGTCATTCGACCCCCAAAGGGGTCGCGACCCACAGGTTGAGAATCCTTGCTCTATAAGGATGCATGGTATTTCCTTTCTTCCCATATTTAACCTTTTGAAATCAGGAAATCACCATTTTGAACAAAAAGTCCAAAAGTATTATTGCCTCACCCCTGATCAAACAGATCAATTTTGCCATTTCTGCTAACTCCGTTATCTTGACAATCCATTTCTTCCACTCTACATATTTCAAACTTTGCTCATAATCTTACTTCAGTTACCAGGTAAAAATCCAATCTCTCACAAGTCTTTCCTAATTGGCTATCCATAAAGTTCTGGTATTATTTCAATGTTAATCTTTAATATTCCTTCCATCATTATATGTATTTGTATCCAATGTTTTGACTGTTTCACAACTCCACTGTACATAGTCAAATGACACTTCACGTTTTCCATATTTCCCACATTAGTTGAAAGCATCTTTATATATCCATTTTTTCCCCTAGGGTCATAATGATAGGAGCTCTAATACAAAACCTTTGGAGAAATGAAGCTATCTATCCCAAGTTTAGACAGACACTGGATTGCCTGCTTTTCATTATTTAAAATAGTGTGTAGTCATTTGTCAAAGATACAGTAAGAAATCCTAAATGTATAATACTGAAGCTTTTTATTTCACCATTCTTCCAATGCTAAGTTTCTAGCAAGGAAAACTCTTGCATTTTGTGTAATCCATAGAAACCTTACTTCCCAATCATAGATGTGGGGAACCATTGCCTTCCTGATGTTGCTGACAAGTAAAAGATAAAAAAGCTGGCATTCTGTCTCTAGGAATGTTTCATTTTCACCAAATCTTCTACTAGCCTGTAGGTAATAGATGGGACTGAGGCATCTGTTTCAAAAAGCACTGCTCACTTTGAAAACAAAACCCAGTAGCAAATCAAATTCATCAATCTTTTATAAGTTAACACAAAAATGTAGCAGTCCTTCCTTTCAACCCGGATGTCAGACAGGAATGTAGTAGTAATAGTCCTTATAGTAATGACAAAGATAAAATATAAAAATATTAGAAATAGAAAATCAGTAAAAACCAAGCTGAAGTATTATGTACTGATAAAAGAGGCTGCAGTTAATTGTCAGCATCTAAAGTGTTATTACATATAGTTAATATGAATAGTTAATAATTAATAATACAGCTAATATTAATCATTTAAAAGGGGATTTGCCTGTGAAAAAATAACTGTATAATTCACGAATTTGGCTTTATAGCAAACCTAGCTGCTATTTGCTGAAACACATAAACCTGCAAGTTTATTTAAGCCAGAATTACTTTTTTGTGGGGAGAGGGCAAAAAACAAAGCACCCATTTTAAACGCTGTATGCCTGAATCTTATTCCATAGAAAACAAACGTGACCCCCTAGTTAAGTGCATTAAAGGCCCTTCATTATTTCTAAGTACAGCAAGTTACAAATGTATGTAACAAAGCAGGAAAAAATGCTTACAAAATCAGGAGCTGTGACAACAAAGATTCCACCGAGAACACAGTGGGAGAAAGAAGTAAACAAGGGAGACAGAACCAAAGACATCTTTCGGAGGAGCTGCTTAATACGGGGGAAGGGATTAAGGAAGGAGGAAAGACGACGTCTATTTTCCCATAAACCTAAAAACCAGGAACAGGGTCCGAAGCGTCTGTCCCTGGATATTATTACTCCTGGGCTAAACTTGAAGGCTAACCGTCCCGGGAGTCCAAGGAGTGGGCCTAGGCAGAAGAGAGAATGCGCCAAGCACCGAAGAATACAGGCAGGAAAAGAGAAGGAGAGGCCTGAAAACTGGGGGAGAACAAAGACGGCTCCCCGCTCTCACAGAGACAGGCGTTCAGAGCTCGTCCCTCCGTTCCCTTTGCGCCGAAATCGGGGAAGCGGACGGAGAAAAGGGCAGCCTCTCACCTTGGCTTTCGCACGCAGAAGGGCTTCTCTCCTTACTCCCGGAAGGCCTCACGGAAACTGCGCGCGCTTGCCTTCCTGCGGATCCTAGCGACCACGAACCACAAACCAGAGAACGGAAACCAACGCTCGCGAGAGCAAGCAAGGCCGAGAAACCGGCGTTCAAACGGAGCTCGGCTCACGTGACTCGGCGGAAGTGCAAAGGCGGGGGCTCCTTCTCCGCTCCGTCCCAATGTATTTCGGGTATTCAGGTAGCCGTTTGTCCAGCCCTTCCTGTTGCGGGGGCGGGGGGCAGGGGGCGCAATGCCCAAAGAAACAACTAGCGCGATATGCGCAATAAAAGCACACCGATGCCTTTTAACCTTTGCGGTTTTTAAAGATCTATTCTTCCGTTGACAACCAGAAATAGAAAAGTAGTGGGAGGGTGGGAGGGAGACAGGATCAATACATTGTTTATGTCTGCTAGCAGAATAGAATAGAATTCTTTATTGCCAAGTGTGGACGCACAAGAAATTTGTCTTTGGTTGCCTATGCTCTCAGTGTACATAAAAGGGAAAAAAATTCATCTAGAATCATAACACTTAGTAAGAGTCATAGATTACTAATACACAATCAAGTCTTACTAGGAAACAAAACAATATAAATAGGAAAGATACAAGCAACATTGTTATAGTCATAAGTGGGAAGAATTAGGTAATAGGAAGGATGAGAAAGAATAACAGTATATACAGTCTTAGTAAATAGTTTGACAGTGTTGTGGGAATTAGTTGTTTAGCAGAGTGATGGCAATTGAGGAAAAACTGTCCTTGTGTCTAATTGTTCTGGTATGCAGTGCCCTATAGGGTCGTTTTGAAGGTAGAGATTGAAACAATTTATGTCCAGGTTGTGAGGGGTTCTAGATATTTTCTCAGTCTTCTTTTTGACTCGTGCACTATATAGGTCCACAGTGGAAGGCAGGTTGGTAGTAATTGTTTTTTTTTTTTTGCAGTTCTAATTATCCCTTGAAGTCTGGGTCTAGTTGGGTTGCAGAGCCAAACTAGGCAGTTAGGTGCAGATGATAGATTAAATAATTCCTCTGTAGAACTGAATCAGCAGCTCTTTTGCCAGTTTGAGCTTTCTGAGTTGGCGCAGAAAGAACATTTTTGTTGTGCTTTTTTATGTTAAGTGTCCATTTTAAGTCTTGAGATAAGATAGAACCTAGAAACTTGAAGGTCTCTACTGTTGATCCTGTGTTGTCTAGTATTGTACGAAATGGTAGTATAGGAGGGTTTCTCCTGAAATCTACCACCATTTCTACGGTTTTGAGTGTGTTAGTTCAAGATTCTTCTGATTGCACCACAAAGCTAGTTGTTCAATCTCCCATCTGTATGCAGATTCATCATTGTCTCGAATGAGACCAATTACTGTTGTATCATCTGCAAACTTCAGTACTTTAACAGAGGGATCTTTTAAGATGCAGTCATTGGTGTATGGAAAGAAGAGAAATGGCAAGAGTACATAGTACTGGGGGAGGGACTGCTGTGCTATCACATGTATATCACATGTCCATCCAGTCGTGGGAATCAAGTGGGATATAAATTTAATAAATTATTATCTCCATCTTGATGTGATGCTGAAAGCTTTGTGGGTTGGATTAAACTGCTGCTTCAAAATTTTAATATTGTCAAAGATCAGTCTACGGTTGGGGGGGAAAGTTATTTTATTGTTATTTCTCTTAATGCATTCCACTGATTTGAAATGCAGGAAGATGAATTAATAAATGAAATAAGAAAAATATTTTGTAGAGGATTGGATGAGCTTCGAGGGTGGATTGCTGCGGGACACCAGCTTTTTCTAAAGCCACCATCCATCTTTTACAGGGTATCCTGTAACAGGTTATCCTCTGGCATCCTCTCCTAACCCAACTGTGTGACAGAAGTAGACTCTCACAATCTGTACTGCTTTTATTGTAATAAAAAGTCAAAAAGCTGAAAGGGAAATATCTATTTTAGTATCCTTCCTAGTCATATGGCAACAGGGGCCTATTAAGGTGACTTAAGGAAATCAACTTTCTTCCCTCCTCTTCTTGGGAGATAACTAATCTCCCAACAGATAAACACAACCAAACTTAATTTTAAATAAAGGAAGTTAAAAGTGTAAAAATAAATGTTTCACTTGAAGTATTAAAGTGAAAATAGTGCTGATGAGAAATTCTAGAGCAGCTTAAATTAAGGTGAATAGCAGTTTGATTAAAGAAGAAAACTGCAACAGGACAAAGTAGTACTCAAAGTAGATCATAGGGTTTTTTGTCTAATATAGATAGACTTTCTCTATTTCCGTCTGAAGAGATAAGTATTTTTCATTATTGTTATCACTATCATCATCACAAGGAATTAACAAGAACATATGCCAACATTGACTTTAAAAATTCAGTTTCCTAATTAACACAGTATCTCTCCCTCAGGATGATGTCAGTTTTGAAATCTGCCTGAGAGGATGTATATTGGGAATGTCTTAAATTCTGCCAGATGGCAAGAAAATTACATGCCCACAACTAAGTGTCTCTGAAGCTAACATGGCATAAAAGAATTGAAGGGAGAAAGCCTGATCTTACAGGTCCAATTTCATTAATAAAATGTATGCAGAGAAATGAAGATATGTATTTAATTACAAGAACATGAATAAAGGGTACTCTTGAACTGAAGTTATTACACACATAGGGAGATAAAGCTAAGCTTGTTAATAAATACTACTCTTGGCCATCAAAATTTTAGTAAGACAACAATGACACTTTTAGACAATTTAACAATTGAAAACTTGCATTCAAAGGTATGGTCTAAAAGCTATATTGGATAGAATTTGAATTTGAAATATATGAAGAAGTCCTAAACTGTAAAAATGTTGAAAAATTGTAAAGCTATAGGAAAAATGTTAAAATATGGATGAAGTTTACTTACAGAGTACCAGTGGTAGGTTTCAGTTTATTTTAGTACCGAGTGGGTGGGTGGAAACTCCCACCGCTGCTACCGGTTCACCCGATCCAGGGCGAACTGGCAGAAACCCACCTCTGCAGAGTACCTGTGTGACTTTTTAACTTGTGTGAAGACTGTTTCTAATGCTGAATATTGAAGAATGTATTATGTTATAAAAAAAGAAAATAGCATGAATAAATGCAATAACCGATGTGCACCTGGACAAGTGTCTGGCAGAATTCTGATGAAAGAATGGAGGAGTTAATAATGAGCAAATCTGGGGATGTAATATTGTTTTATAATGAATGGGATATAAAAACTAGATCTTTGCTCTTCAACATGTCATTGAAAATAGTATAGATGTGAAAGTTTATTGCATGCTTTGATTCAGAGGAAGCATATTGCAAAGTGAGTAGATTTGTTTAACTTCTTGTACTGAATAGTTTTGGTTATTAATTTTTTTGTGGAAAAATAGACTTGAAAGTTGGTTATTGAATGCATTATGAGTAGTACCTTATGGAAGTAAACATGCATGAGAATAAATAGAATACTTAGGGAATGATTCATCATTGATGGGAGCTAGGGATGTGTAATGTCCTATTGGTTTTTTAGCATATTTATGATAAATATACAAGGAATTAGTGTGATGAGATGTATTGGCTGAATATATACTGTTGTTTCCAGATTATGCTATATTGGTGACTGAGAACTGAACAATTTGCAACAAATGTTAAGTACACTGAATGATATAGCGAGAAGGATCTGAAAATTAATGTATCAAAGACCAAAGTAATTACATGTTATGATAAATCGAATGATGTAATGCCATATTTCTACAAAAATAAGACCTACCCAGAAAATAAGCCTTAGGCTGATTTTTGCATGCTCCTAATATAAGTCCTACCCCAAAATAGGCCCCAGTTAAGGTTATCAGTTGTGTGGCTAGCACTGGAGGCGTCGAGAGCGCAGAGGCTGACGGTGTCCAGCCACAGCTCATGCAGGGCAGGTGAGTTGATTACCTGCCCAAGCAGCAGATGGAGGCAGAGAGTCGGTGGGCTGGAGCAGGCAGGTGGCTATGGGAGGATCGTCTTTGTACAGCGGCACTGGCAGCAGACAGACACAGAGGCATTGAGAGGGGGGATGCATGCAATCTGGACATGCCACATGGGCTGTGGGAAATCCGAGAGTCAGTGTGCCAGAGTGGGTGAGCAGCCACAGGAGGTTAGTCTTTGCGTGATGGCACCGGCAGCAGACTAACACTGTTGGCCCTGGCGTTCATTGCTTCTTGTTTGTGCACTGGGGGGCGAAGGGGGTGAAGTGCCCAACCAGGCTGATCACCCTGATATTGTGTTTCCCTGAAATAAGCCCCAATGCTTATTTTGGAGCCCCAACAGATATAAGACGGGGTCTTATTTTGGGGAAAACATGGTAGTTATACATAAATGGTGAAAAAGTAGAGTAAATAGATTAATTTCTGTACCATTAGAATATGTTTATTAAACTTGGGTAAATGGATGAAGATGGCCAGTGTAGTTGACCATGGTAATATGATAGGCATGATGTACATTGACTTCAGCAAAACTTTCAACAAAGTCTTCCCTGAGATCCAAGTGAAGAAAATGAAAAAAATCTAGGCTGTGCTTTGCTATCATCAGATAAATACAAAGCTGATTGAACAAAGGTACATCAGTGGAACTGCATGAACATTGAAGGAGTGTAAGCAAATATACTGGAAGCTTCTATTTTTAGACCATTCTGTTCTCCTAGGCGCTGCTTGGAGTGTCCAAGCACGGGTTAACTTCAGCTTGCTGCCCAAGGAACTGAGTTT